CTAGTAACTCCGCACAATGGTATCATTGCAGACGAATTTCACGCTTCATATGGCAACGCATAATACCGGCGACCCGAAATGTCCCGAATGCGGTAGGAAATACGCCCGCATGGCGAGTCTTAAGTCCCACATGTTGATGCACGAGAAGGAGGAGAATCTCTTCTGCACAGAATGTGAGGATGCCTTCTCAACGAAGGTGAGTCTAATCCTTTTACTTCCACTTCTGAGCGATATTTGATTTCGAATTAAAACTATAATCAGGAATTTAGAACCGATTTTCCGATCTCTTGGCAAGCTAATTAATAGCTAATTAACAGTTAAATCATATGTTTATCTTTGTTTAATTTGAAAAAAACAAAAAACATATAACTTAGTTATAAGCATACTAAAAGGTTGGACAAATCGGCCTTGTTTCTACGCAATTATCCTTCAAACTATCTGAAAGAAAGGAATTCTGCGGAATTATGCGGGTGTTTCTTAAATACATATTGCAAAAAAAAATGCAGGCAATGCAAAAACTAAATAAAATATTATTTCTTTTTAAAAAATTAAAAATTTTTATGTTTCACAGTTGTTTTTTTATTCGCAAAAAATGCTTTTTTCAGTCACCTCTTAGCTGATATATCTTGGAAAGCATTTTAGAACACATGTTTATATGAATTTTTCTCTTATTTTAATGTGAGGAATCGCCTCCTGCATTTTTTGGACATGTACTTAAGGAACACCCTGTATAGACTGTTCCAAAAATACTTCGCGTATCATTCAAGCATTGTACAGTGGTCTTCGGACACCCCGTATAAAGCTCATAAAAGCTCCCGCGCCACATAACATTGCCTTATCGATGCTGTGTCCTGCCGGCGCATTTCTGCTGATCGCGCAGACCCGCTTACCGATAACATTCATCTCTTTGCAGATATAGTACATGTAATTATTACCTTGCGGCTGTTAAGATGTCGGATGTTCACCGTTGCATTCGTTCGTTCATTCATTATGTATCATTCCAAGTGCTTGACTTTGTATTGATCACTCTCTTGAATATCGATTAATCATCACGCATAAATCCCGATCGTCTGCTTGACATTTGCAAACCCTCGCTAAGCTACTCTTTAACAGGAAAGGGAAACATTTGTCATCGTTTTGCAGCGTTGCAACTTGTGTTAGGTGACTAACAGGATCTGTTTATTATCTGCGAATAAGGTTTAACATAAACAAATCCAATAGTATGAACGGATAACGATTCAACATAAGGCGACGGATAAGAACGCTCAATTCTGAAGACTCGACGTTATCGGATGAGTACATTCTCGTGTGTCGTCGACGCAGAAGAGGATAAACGATGATCACACTCCGAAGGTCGACGCCTGTGACCCGCAACGACTTATCTATACTCGGCCGGCCGCTAGCCAAAATCGAGCGATCGTAGAGAAAGATAGCAGATTCCCACTGTTACGAGGCCAACCTCGTAACGAACTGCAGCCGGACAAATACAGGAGATGATTTAATAATTCTCTGGAATCTTCTCAGAGACTAAGAGGGTATTATCTCATAGCGTTGACGAAGTATGCCAGTGAAGCACGGCTTTGCTAACTTAGCGCGTTCGTCATTGACATCAAACAGTCTCGTCTCTGCTACGTGTTCGCACTCGGGAATGTGTCTGTGCGATGAAGTATGCTATTAGTAACATTTCGATAGGAATAAAATGAATGAGTCATGCTGGCGATAGCGGCGCGAGTGCTATCGATCACAGCATCCGAAGACGAATTTCTTCGAGGAGAGGAGGAGCGTCGAAGACACGCGCGAAAATTGTCGAGGAGCGCACCCAAGCGGTCGGGACGATTTTCCGAGTTTACGGGGACAATGACGATTAATTGAGATCGCCCGTTGATGATCGTCGCTCGTCGAGTGACCGTGATAAGGAGACGTGGGCCGTAAAACGACGCGAGTAGGCGGCGGTCCGTATAATGCGCGCATGAATTACGCAACCGAATCGCATGATCTCACACAGATCTCTCGTCGATTGCTCTCGCGTTTAGTGGTCGCCGGCTGTACGCCCGCGTGCACGCGCATTGCGACACGCACGCACGCATACACGCACGTGCAACGACGAAATGTAGAACGGAGTCTAGGAAACGCGCCGCATCGCGTGTTATTCGTTTCCGTCGTTGGTATTTGAACTGTACGATAGTCTGTTTTTAAACAGGAGAAGAAGCAGAGGGATCGGGAGCATCAATAACGACATTCGAACATTATGGCCTGTATTAATAGTTATCGTCTGAAACTTATCTCTCGCTGTGAGATGTTTTGATTCTTACTCGGAATCAGATCCAAGTTTTTCACATCGTGATGTATATGACATTGATATCTGCAATCGTGATTCAACTCTGAGAAATTCTTATCTGATTTTGGCCTGTATTAATAGTCGTTACTTGAAGTTTGTCTCATGTAAGATACTCAGATTCTTATTCGGAATTAGACTTGAGTTTTTCAGTTAAATTATGTGATATATATGACTTATTATGTCTTATGTAATAGAGATTCAACTGAAAAACTTTCATCCAACTCTGAACTCAAATCTGAATATTTAATTTGAGGTTTTCAAGTAATGACTATTAATACGGATCTAAGGCCCGTATAAATAGTTGTTACCTGAAAAAAACTTGCTTCATATGAGATCCTCAGACTTCAATTTTAAATTTGATCTAAATTTTTTTATTGAACTATGTGTGATATTTATACCTGTAACTACGATTCAACTGAAAAATTCTCGCGTCTAATTCTGAATTCAAATCTGAGTGTCTTATTTGAAAAGTTCTCAAAGTAATAACTATTAATACCGATATAATTATGTGCAAACCTCGAAGAATCAACTGAAGCGAATGAAGACTGAAGAAGGAAACGACTCGCTTCATTTACAGTCACAGATATATTGGACAAATAATTATTGTATTCTGAATAATTATTTGAAGAAGGGTAAAGTTAAGGCAGAGCCTATAGAAAACTTGAAAGACGCGATGCAAAACACGGAGGCATTATCGCATGCAACAAGAAATTTAAAGAATAATCAGATTTCGCAGACCTGTTGAAGATCGGTCGTAGCTCGATCTAGCCTGATAGTTCGCAATGGAATCTGAGAGTGTCTGAGAGTGCTAACTCGTGGGAAGAGAGATAGAAAGAGAGCCGATAACGATGACGACGAATATGACGATCCCGACGACGACGTAAGCGACATTTACAGTCGCTTCGTCAGTGGGCAGCGAGTATTCGTGAAGCGTGCACGTGCTCGCGTTTGTCATCTCGTCGTTGTTTCCCTTGGACGAGATGCGCGATGTAATCGGGATCGAAGGGCATCGCTCCCGCTGTCGCTGTTACGTCGCGAGCGCTTATGTTTGTTTATTCGCCAAGTTCTGCGCTTATACTTTGTATTCGATTTCTTCCATGTCGAGCGCCAAGTGCAAAGACCGACGTGTTGTTAATTGAAACATTCTCACTGCGCCTAAGGAATCGCTCTACTGATGTTCGCTGCTTCTCTCATCACCGTCGTTCTTTGCACGCCGCTGGAAGAAGAGAGATCACCAATGGAGAAGAGTTTGCCGCCCAGGAAGTAGAAGAATCGCAGCGACGCTGGAAGTGCTATCCCTCGCGCGATCTCCACGATCGAAGTAAATCGTTTTTTTTTTACGTGTCCCGCCGATTGATAATCACCGCTGCATTTTGTCTGCCCAGGAAGTGTCGTTGCGATCAAAGTCGTCGAGAAAAGATTCTTTTTCCCCAGAATGTAACGTTCGGCACGGCACATTCGGCATGGTTTTTACACGCTCAGTCACGGATTTGTGTATTTTTTCTGGCGCCGGACTTGAAAGGTCTTCGAGGAGGTCTCGTTTCTCTTTTCCTCGAATGTCGAACGCTCGCGGTGAAGATCGCGCAGATGGTGTTTCCATTTCCCTTCTCGCGCGCGACTCGACACTTGGAAAGTGAGAAAGAGTGAGCAAAGTTCTTCAATATTTTATGTATTTCGTAAAACATTCAGCATAAGTGATCGCGGTGGTGCATTTGTTGCTTAGGTGCGGCTGGTGCTCGACTCCACTGAAGAGAGAGAGAGAGAGAGAGAGAGAGAGAGAGAGAGAGAGAGAGAGAGA